TATATATATATATATATATATATATATATATATATATATATAGGCATGTTCAAATGAAAACCGTGCATTTTTTAGAAACCATGTAAACTAATGTCGACAAATAAGAATATTACATTTTTTTAATTAAATTTAATTATTAAGGGTATATTGGTCATTTGCATTGTTTTCTATTAAATATAGAAGTTATTAATAAATCTTAATTAAGGTAACATAATAAAAGATTTTTTATAAATGGTAACATTTAAATATTTGATTAAATTATAATATTAAAAATTGGATTTTGTTATATTGTGTCTCGGTTTATTATTGCCAAGATTCATGAAAATCATGGAGTAAGCGAAAATGAATATGAAATGGGTGCATGATGAAACCAGTTTAATACATGGTGAAATTGGTGCATAGAGTAAGTGAAAATGATTATAAAATGAGTGCATGATGAAATGGGTACAACATGAAATGAGTGCATGGTGAATATGGTGCATGATGATATGGGTGCGTGAAGGAAGTGAAACCATTTCATAATTGAAGAAATTGACTGATGAAATGAGTGCATGAAGAAAGTGAAACCATTTCATAATTGATAAGAAAATGTTGTGTAATTAGCGAACAGTGAAACCATTTCATTATTACAATTAAACGAATTCATCTACAAATAAAAGTGAAACCATTTCATAATTAGATTGAAACGGATCCATCTACCGGAAACTTGAAAATGACAAATATCTCATCTAGTATTACGTTGATTTGTGTATTGATGCACTTTGTGATACGCTTCATAAAATAACGAAAAAAAACAGTGTGATGCACTTAGTAAAGCAAAATTACCTAATATATTGTGTTACACTTCGTAAAAGAACAAAAATATATTGTGATACACTTCGTATAACGACAAAAATACACTATGATACCAGATCTGGTTGATGAATACAATTGTGATACCACTGTGTTACCACTTTATCACACTCGACGTTACATCTCCAAAGAGATCTAGGTTACATCCAAAAACCTTACATCTTCTACATTAACATCTCCAACGATATATGGGTTACATCTCCTGCAAGATATGGGTTACATCCTCGATCTAAAATGAGATCTGAAAAAAAAACAAAAACTAAAACCGATCTGGATGTGCAAAAACCAGATCTCTTGGGATATGAAAAACCAAAACTGATTTGGGTTGTTTAACGGGGGAATCGGACCGATGAATGTGAGAATTGAGGAGATGATGGCCGGTGGTTGGAGATGGATAAAGAATAAGAAGCAGCGGTGGCCGGTGGTCGGAGATGGGCGAAGAAGGAGGCGTCGAACGGTGTTAGGCAAAGGGATCGGTGTAAAGCGTTGGACCTGAGAGGAAACATGTTTTGGCCGGCGATGGGGAAAGAGGGTCATAGGTGGTGATCTCATCCATTCTAATACACACACACACACACATCTATTTCAAAATTAGAATATTAAACTAATTAAAGTAAATTGAATACTCAACACAATTTACGAATTTGCCTTTCTACTTATTTTAAGAAATCATAATAATTATCTTGAATGATTGGTTCATGTTGGATCTCAGGGTTATCACGAACTAGACAGTTCTCATTTGATTAGGCCCTTATATATATGCATATTCTTTTGCACCCTTAGCCATAGTTGTTCCATTTACATACATGTAACATACACATGGATTCCCAGTTGGTTTGCTTATCCCTTAATAGTCTATTTCGATCTCAACAGTTTCATACACATACATGTTACATGCACTTGGATTCTTTAAGGATCTATTTGCTATTAAAGATCTATTTTTGTGTTATCAGTCAAGTAAAACAGAGAGAAACCAAACGCCATGCTAATCGAGAGAAACATAAATCAAGCAAAACATAAACAAAGTCGTACTACCAGAATACAAGCTTTTACAAGCTTTCGAAAATCGAGCAACAGTAATCGAGCATGGAGAAACAAAATCGTACTAGCAGAAACAAAATCGATCAAGCAGAGAGAAACAAAGATCGAGCAAAGAGTAAAGAGAAATCAAACCTATTAGCGAGTTGGTGTTCGATGGAGAAGCAATCGAGCCAAAAGTGGTGTTCGATGGAGAAGAATCACAAAAATGGTGTTCAATTGAGAAGCAATCGAACAGAAATGGAGAAGAGGCTGGTGTCGGCTTCTTTGTGAGATTAGGGTTATAAGATAGGGGTGAGGGTATATTGGGTATTATGAAAATAAGAAATTTCATTCCATTAAAATCCCATTTGTTCATCAAAGAATGTTAAAATCCTCTATTTATGGAATTCATAGGAATATGAAGATTCTTTCCGTTGAAAAGAATGAACTAAACGAAGGAAATGAATCTGATCAAAGGAATTCAACATTCCAATTCATTCAGATTCCTCCACTGCGAACCAAACGCAACCTATATCTCTCAACCTTTGCCATTGATTGTGTAGACAAGCTACACCAATATATATCCTAATATTGTATTAAACTATTTGTGTTATTTTTATTTTTTTACTAATTAATTTTATTTTTATTAACATTTTAATAATAAAAGGTTTATGAAAATTAAATTTACGATGTAAATATCATTTTATTTTTATTTGAATCTTTTCAAACGTTTAATTTGTTCGTACCGGCCTCAAAAATTTCAAAACTGACATTAAAATTTTAGTACGATAAAGTTTTAAAATCTGATTTTGGAAAAATTCAATTTTTTTTATTACATTTCTTTTTCTAACTAAAAAGACTAGGGTTCTACTAACTAGCTAGCTATAAAACAAACTTTGAATTTGAATTTTGGTTCAAAATAGAAAACAAACAAAGTGTCAAGCAATTTTAGAAAGACCAAGCATATCTTTTTCATGTAAATATGGTTTATTTAAATCTGAAATTTTGACCAAACAAATGGTATGTTTTAAGCATTTGTACTTATGCATAATAATGTGTACTTAAGAGATTTTTTAATCTATTGCATAATTTGATAGTACTTTATGCTTTAAGACTTGTAATTAAGACTTTTGGTCTAAATACGTATTAATATAGTATAGATATATATAATTTATTAATTAATATATAACGGATACGGGGCGGGCGGAGAGTACGATACCCGTCCCTGTCCCCATCCCCGATTTAGCAGGGAATCCCCGTCCCCAAGGATCCCAACCGGGGCGGATGGACCGGGTTCCCCAACGAGTCGGGGGCCATTCCCATGCCTATATGCAATTCTTTCTATATTTTTTCCTTTTACTAAATTTCGTGTTACAAGTAAACAATTACCAAACAATTATATTTTATTTTATATTATATCATGAAAGCATCTTAATCATCCTATATCAAACCATTCGGCAACCAACCGGAAAAAGAAAACCCCCAAGAAGACTAGAGTTCTACTGATTAGCTAGCTATAAAACGAACTGAGATCTAGACACCATAACCATACTAGCTTAGCTACCTACAATGGAAGATGTAGTGGTGATGTTCCCCTCTGTTGGAATGGGCCACTTCATTTCAATGGTGGAGCTCGGAGAACTCATCCTCACCCACGACCCTTCACTCTCCATCACCATCCTCCTCACTCCTAAGCATTACGAAGCAGCCTCCGCCGCTAATTACATCAAAACCATCACCGGAACCACCCCTTCCATCAACTTCCACCATCTCCGACCCCTCCACCACCCTCCACCTGATTCTTCCATTCATTTCTTCGACMTTGTATATCAACTCATCAAGCAATACAGACCCGTCGTCAGAGACGCCCTCCAATCCATCTCGGAGAAATCAAACATCAAAGCTGTCATCCTTGATTTCATGTCGAATCATGCTTTTGAAGTCTGTAGAAGCCTCAACATACCCACCTACTTCTTGTTCACCGGCAGCGCATTTGGCGCCGGCATAATGTTGTACCTCCGGACAATGCTCGAGAACTTACCTGGGAGCTTGAAAGATCAGAAATTTTACATTGAAGCTCCGGGAAATCCGCCGATTTGTTCTCTGGATATGCCGTCGACGTTGCAGGATAAAGACACTGATTCTTACAAAAACTTAATCTGCACATCAGAAAATATGGCGAAATCCAGTGGTATCATTGTCAACACGTTTGCGGCTCTTGAGCCAAGGGTCATGAAAGCGCTCGCCGATGGGGAGTACATCCCAGACGGTCCAACTCCGCCAACTTACTACGTTGGGCCACTGATTAAAGGTAATACCGGTGACGATAAGTGTTTAGACTGGCTGAGTTCGCAACCGAGTAAAAGCGTGGTGGTTTTGATTTTTGGTAGTCTGGGGAAGTTGAAGAAGGATCAGCTGATCGAAATAGCGAAGGGGTTAGAGAAAAGTGGACAAAGATTTCTCTGGGTGGTCCGGAATCCACCGCCGGAAAATGAAGCAGGTCATGCCTTTGAGTTCAAAGATCCGGATCTTGACGACTTACTTCCGGCAGGGTTCTTAGACCGGACTAAAGAGATGGGGTTGGTGGTGAACAACTGGGCACCACAAGGTGAAATACTGAGACATGAGTCAGTGGGTGGGTTTGTCTGCCATTGTGGGTGGAACTCAGTTCTAGAAGCTATGCATGCCGGCGTACCATTGGTGGCATGGCCGTTGTATGCAGAACAAAGGATGAACAGGGTGCATCTAGTGGAGGGGATCAAGGTGGCTCTGAGGTTGAAGATGTCGGAGGAAGGGTTTGTGACGGCGGAGGAGTTGGCGGAGAGATTGAGGGAGTTGATGGAGGAAGAAAGTGGAAGGAAGATAAGAGATCATGTTTCGAATATGAGTATAAGTGCTAAAGCAGCGGTGGCGGACGGTGGTTCGTCCCGAGTTGCCGTAGCTGAGTTGGTCGAGTCACTAAAATCAGTGCGAGTTTAGCCACCACCAATCACTCCAAAGTCATTTAGGTAAATGATCTCAAATTAGTTTTTAATTAAATACATGATCTTTTATTTATATAAAAAAATAAATTTATATTTATAAAAAGATCATAAATTTAATTAAAATCTCATTTAAGGTTATATATCCGAAGTTTGTTGAATAATAAGTTTCATGGAGGAGATGTGTGCAGTGGGTTGTCTCTTTGTTTTCTAAAGCACTCTTTTACCGTGCTAATGTGACCATCTATAATACATCAATTTGGTTTAAGAACTTAATCACATCCTTGATTTAAGACTTCAGTGAAGCATCCTACCTACACGTCGGGTAAAATAAAAGTTATACTTATAAAATAACAACTTATTTTTATAAAAAAAATTATTATAGTATTTTATTTTTGTTTTTTTTATTACAATAATGTACTTTCAAATTATTTTTATTAAGACATCGCATTTTAAAAAATCTACCCAGTATAGCATTGGGTAGCCTGTTACCTTTTAAACCGGTTAATCCTTTGACTTTTTTTGTTTGTGTGACTTTAATGAGGTGATATTGATGACACATCATTTTGATGACTTAATCTTTATATATATATATATATATATATATATATATAAGTAAAATCTTTGATATTAAGGTGGCATCATGAGAATTGAGTATTCTCAAATGGTGAATTGTGGTTGATTTTTGTAATTGTCTCACATTAGTGAAGAGTTAAAATATTTGAATAAAGTGAAATGTATAAAAAGATGGATGGTGTCTTTGTGTCAATTCATGGGGTTTTCCTCATATGGTTGTCTTATTTTGGATGATTCTCTTTGAAATCTATAACCATGGTTGGAATTAAAACCAACCAAATGGAAAAAATCATAGTACAAAACTAAAAATGAAATCAAGGATGATGACTTGGCAACATTATGTTTGAGTCTTCCTCAAATCTTGATTAAAGTTGATTTTCATCATTCACGTTGGTGGAAAGATTTGAAAGAAGATGATGGATGTATAAAAGCGTGATAGATGTATAAAAGCGTGATAGATGCTTTGAAATTTATAAACATGGCTGAAATCAAAACCAACCAATTCATAAAATTATATTACAAAACACATAATTAAAATCTTTATCTTTATATTATATATAAAAAAGAAAAACATGGGGTATTAAGGTAGCATCATGAGAATTGAGTATTTTCAAATGGTGAATTGTGGTTGAATTTTACTTGTTCATATTGGTGAAGAGTTGAAAGATTTGAACAAAATGAAATGTATAAGAAAGATGAATTAGATGTCTTTGTATCAAATCATAGAGTTTGCTTCATAAGGTTGTATTATTTTAGATGGCCATCTTTGAAATGTATAACTATGGTTGGGATCAAACTAACCAAATGATAAAAATATTTATCTTTATATATATATAAGGAAAACCTTGAGGTATTGAGGTGCGCCATGAAAATTGAGTTATCTCAAATGATAAATTGTGGTTGAGTTTTAGTTGTTCCATATCGGTGAAGAGTTGAAAGATTTAAAAAAGGGAAGTGTATAAGAAAGGTGGATGAAATGTTTTTATGTCAAATCATGAGGTTTGCATCGTAAGGTTGTCATATTTTGGATGACCCTCTTTGAAATTTATAAACATGGTTGAAATCAAAACCAAACAAATGGTAAAAATTATAGTGCAAATATAAAAGTGAAACCAAGGATGATGACTTGGCAACATAAAGTATGATTGTTCCTCAAATCTGAAATAAAGTTGACTTTTATCATCCCGCATCGGTAGAAAAATGATAGTTTAGACGAAGATGATGGATGTATAAAAGCATGATGGAGCTTTGAAATCTATAACAATGGTTGAAATTAAAACCAACCAATTGGTAAATTTTTTGTGCAAAACGAATGCAAATGATACTTTTTTTTCTTAACAAGAGTTGTGATTATTGTAGTGCTTATAATAACAAATGTTGTTTAAATATTTATTATTTGTTGACTTAATGACGTATTTTTATCTGATGTTAGAATTCTCCAAATCGTGATTTACGTTGTTGGATGGGGCGTTATAAATGTAAATACAATCAAGAGTTTTCAGACACTTCCACTCGAGTCAAGGCTTTTACGGTTTTTTTGAATTGAATTTTGATCACCGTGCAACGCGCGGTGTCGAACAATAGTAAGTTATTATAAGAACTACCATTGTGAAGGTTTATGTCGGTTTTTAATTTAGTAAAGTAAAAATGATGTGTCAAACAAACATACCAAAAGTGGATTCTAATAAAAACCTCCATTGGATGTAAGAAGACTCTTCCAATAGTGAAATTGATAACCAAACCTTAATAGTAAATATTTTATGTAAATATACAAAAATATTGTCAGTGGGATTACTATATTAGTTTATGGAAGAACTTTTAGTAATACAATAATGTTGATGTATAAATTTCAAACTAATAACAACTGTAATTCTTACATTTATGTTTTTTTAATATGGATGGGTAAATAAAAAAGTGGGTGTTCCTTTGAGTGAGACCAGTAGGCATACTGGACTTGGCGAGCCCAAGCTTGTGATCCTTCCACTATCAGGAGCGAGGAGTTGTCGTAGCTCTGTAAAGTCAGCCTAACGCATTGCCTCCTTCTCTAAATTCCAAGTGCCCCAAGCCTTCGCCCAAGCCACATGAACCAACTCTCAACTTGGAATGGGCAAGCCAGATATTGCAACATCAAGCCCAACCAACCGAGCCCAACTCAAGGTCCAATCCGCTTTAATACCCCCACTTGGGTTATAGGCAAGCGCTACCAAGCCCAGTGATCAATGATCTATAAACTAGAGATGGCCAAATGGGCCCGGCCCGGCCCGGCCCGTAACCGCCGGAGGACCGGAACCGGGACCGGAGAGGGACCGGAACCGGTATGGACCGGTTGTGGACCGCCGGTTATGAACCGGTTATGGATTTTAACTTTTTTAGGACCGAGACCGGTTAAGACCGGAACCGGTTATGTAACCGGTTATAGGACCGGCCCGGCCCGGCCCGGTCAACAAAAGTCAACGTGTATATATATATATA